TCCATGTTTATAGCATTTACAATGTCGGAGGGATCCAGATGTAGCCATGGGTCTGTAAATAACCAGCTTTCTCTAGTAGCTTATCAGCTTCGGCTGGGCCTCGGCTTCCTGGTTTGTATGGGATCGATTTCACTTCTCCTTTTTCGATCCTGTGAAGCAGCGGAGTGAAGATTTCCCACGCTGCCTGTTTTTCGATTGATCACAAACATATATTTGTTCTAAGATCTTCTCAATTGGGGGAAAAAAAATCAAGATTTGACAACAAATTTGGGTATAATCATATTGCAGAAGTTTTGAAACCAAGTTGAGTTTGGTTCTTGAAATCATGTCAACTTACTATTCTCTTCTAATGTAACAAAATATTTGAGAAAGAAAGGGTAATTCGATAAAACTTGTAAAGCAGATTGACCGGTTCAGGGAGGTTTTAAGTGGTGAAGGAGAAAGGTAAAGTACCTTCAATTCATCTCTGCGGACAAAGTGTTGTTGGTCGCCTTTGATTCTGCAGAAAGATACATAATTTGGTTACTTAATGGGAAGAATAAATGTTTTAATACTCTAACTAAATAAAATTTAGATTCATACGTGTCAAGAATTAGGCGCTCGTAAGCCTCTGGGATCGAGACACCTTGGTAACGTTGCTTGTACGATAGGTCTAGTTCACTCTGCACGGTTTGCATCTCCAGACCCGGTTGCTTCACCTGCGCAGCAAAGCCAACAAGAGTTCAGATTTGATTGAATGACACTGACCATTAGCCAATTGTTTTCTTTTCGACTCACATAAGATACATTTATAAGATAGTTGCATCATATATTAAGCTTATGAAGGAAATTCAGTCTCTCGTTTATGATTGGTTCCTTATGCACTTACAGTTAGCTTCATGTACATGGCCTCTGATGGTTGCAAGCGTATAACAAACTCATTCCTCCCTTGCTTTTGACCTGTTGCATTGCATACGACTTTAGACCAACACAACTTTTGGTATCAGTATATACACTTTAATCTGAGAAGCTTGATTTGGTATCAGTAACATACATTTGAATATGTCGCCAGGAACATCCTTAAACTGAATGCGAATATCTGCCTTCTTTGAACTCATTGCCTTTCCAGCCTTCAGTATAAACGGAACACCTGAAAGATAAATCAATCCAAAAGTCAATATATATGAACAATATGAACTGAATTAATGTTTAGTCTTTGATTCTTTTCTCTCTATTCATGTTGTCTTTTAGATGATCTTCCAAACTCGACCTAGAAAGTGAAAAGATCAAGAGTGAAAAAGACACGGCGGTACCTTCCCATCTTTCGTTGTCTATGCGAAGAACTGTTGTGGCAAATGTTGGAGTGTTTGAGTCATTTGGAACAGTTGGATCATCTTTATACCCTTCGTATTGTCCAAGAACCACCTCTTCATCTCTTATAGGGATCACCGATTGAAGAACCTGAAGTTCATTTAAAATATCAGTCAAATAGTATTAATTGGCTGAAAATGCAAATGAAGATATCACTTGATCCCATAGTACGGATAATAACCTCCTACAAAAGTTTGTTAATGAAGATGTGACTAAATGGAACAGAAAAGTTAAGTGCAATATGAATCAGAAAAAGGCACAGAGAGCTCATTATAATGGGTAAAAATGTGATCACGAGAACATCAATCACCTTCACTTTCTCATCACGGATGTGCTCGGGTTTAAGAGAGATTGGTTTCTCCATGGCGACAAGGCAAAGAACCTGCAGTACACTAAACTCAGTCAATATATGAACGCATCTGTGGTTACAGAGAGACTCCAAGAAAAACCAGTCAAACGAAGGTGTCCTTTAAGGTAAAACACAAGAATTCTGATGACAATTTTATGTTTTCCTTCACAGTAGACAAATATT